AGAAATGAGGAATGGGAGAAAAGATGAGGAGCAAGGAATTAGAATAATGAGTAGAATTTCTTCATCATCCAACCATCTTTTCATTTAAGCAATAATTGTTGAGTGCTTATCATGTGCAAACATGAATGTATTTCTGGTCAGCAGCCCATGAACAGAGAACCAGAGGGTGTATGAGTATCTAAATGTAATGACAAAGAATGAACGACCAACTACACTGGGCAGCATATAGAAAATGGAGGCTGGCCTTCAACCAAACACAATCATGGGCCCTGGATCCAGAGAAAGGTAGGGTGTGAAGGGATGGGCAATGAGAGAAGTTTCATGTCTCAACAAATCTCAGTTGCATAAGAGAAGAGGAAGGAGGCAGACATGGCACAAGAAACAGTGTTGTCACTGGACAGCAAAGTGCGAATGAAATCAAATACCCAGTTCTTGTCTTCAGGAAGATACTCTGAATTACACCCAACCTTCCTGGTGAGATTTTGGCTGGCTTCCGTGTTTCCTTGTTCCCTCTTTTCATAGAACCTTATCTGAGGCTTCTCCAGATCCCAAAGGCTTGCTGATATTATCAGAGCTTTGAATTTAAGCACAGGCCTAGGAACAGGCTCTCCAAGTGTATTTGTTACCTAAACCTGATTGTAGTTCTTGGCACCTGGTTGGGTTATTCTGGGTATTTAGTAATTCAGCAATCCAGTTACCCATGCCTGTGGTCAACCAGGACTTGCTTTGTACCAGTCACTGGAACATGGCTTCCATACTTTCATTTTTGATAGCTAAATGCTCACCACCAATCATACCAACTTGCTCCTCTCCGCCCTTCACAAACCAAAGGAAATTGCTTTGGTGAGCCAGACTCAGTGGCAAAAAAAATGTCTAAGGCATTGTTGATACTCAAATTTGTGAGTATTACAAGTCCATAGTGTGTCATAACTTTACAATAGCACCATGTATGTGTGCCTTGATGGTGTCAAATTTATCCTTTTAATTGCCATATCTCAGAGTTTTCTTTATACACTAACAAGGAACTGGTTTGTTTGCATTTGGGATGTTTCTCTTTTTTTTTTCCTTTTGGTTGTTGGTTTTACAAATCTTCTGGCATTAGTTTGCTCACCTGAAGAAACAGACGCCTAATCATTCTTCCCTACCTCTCAGAGGTGTCATGAGGATTAACATAATGCAAGTATATGTGCTTTAATAAGCATCATTATTTAAAAATCCCTTGCAGATGGTACCATGTCGCTTGCTGAAATAGTAGAATCCCATAAGGCCTGCAGAACGGAAGCCACAATCCCTTGAACCCTGTGCGTCTGTGACGCACACGCTGTAGCATGATAGAGCAAGACCCTGAGAATGAGAGAGAAACTAGCAGATGCTAACATGGGTCCAGAATCCCATGCTGAGTGAAGCCATCCCTTTCTCTGTCTAGTTTCTGTGATTCTAAGCGGCCAGTGAGTTTGTCCCCTGCAGGGGAAAAAATGGCTGATTGATTTTCCCTCTGCTCAGAGACCCCAGCGTGTGGACACCAGGGATTTTGTGAAGTTCCACCAAAAGCCTCTCCCCATGGAACTGGCCATTCACATCGAACATGATGAGCTCCCGGCCACAGGATTCCTCTCACTTCCATCTGCCGAATGCATAAACCACATCATGGCCATTTGCAGGCTTGTTTTCAGGCCCTGCTTGTTACTTTAAAAATGGAGAGAAAATCCTCTTCTCTTTAGTGGTGTCCACTTTTAACTAAATCCTGGACTAAGCCAGTAATATGTCTGACTTTTTTTATTGCATAAACAATACAATAATCTCTGCATCTTAGATTTTTCAAAATCTTAGAATACTCATTTTTAAATAATTGCTAATTTAGTTCATCTGGGTTTGTTTTTATTAATATGGCATTTCAACATACTCATCATATGTCATTTCTTTGTTTTTAAAGATTTTATTGGGGAGTTGGGGGAGGGGAACAGCGTTGGGGAATTGGGGAAAGGGAACAGACAAGTTGCTGTCCTTTTGTTCTTCAGTGTAGTTGTGGAGGACGTCACTTCACTGGCCCATGTTGGTATGATCATTGTGCTCTTCCTGAATGAGGCAGATCGGTTGCCGGCCTCTGGACGGCGGCTCACAGTGGCTCTTGGCAGCTCACACTGGCTGCCGGCCGCTCACTCTGGCTGCTGGCCACTCACGGTAGCTTATGGCAGCCCACTGCAGCAGGGGCTGCAGCCTATTCTGTGGCAGGTAGCCCAGCTCCACATTGAGCTGTTGTTCACCATCTTAGCTGTAGAGGGCAGTGTCACTGGCCCTCAGGTGGGATCCAAACCAGGGCCCGGCTGCTCAGAGCTGGGGTCCCAAGCCAGCTCTTAACCAATGTGCCGCTCGGCCGGCCCCTCATCATGTGTCATTTCTGTACAAAAACTCATAAATTTCAAGTCCCAGAAATAAAAACAATAAACAGAAATACTTATATTGTCATCTCTTTAATTTCATTCAGAGACTAACAGGCTTGTGGTAGATTATAGAAAAGGGAACTGGTTCCCTCCAGTCACATCAGTACCTTCAACATCTTAGGAACCCATCCTAAAGCAAAAACAAGATGTCCATGCAGGTCAAGGTTATTATCCCTGAAATTCTCAAGAAAGCGGCTTTTTGTTTTCTTGGCTGCCCTCTAGTGGTTAATGATATAGTGTCAATAAAACACGCTGCATCTGTGAAGAGAAACTCTTCAAAGCAAAAGCAAAAAATATTATAATTAAAGAAATATTACTGCAGATATGAGGCTTATCTAATAATTCTTACTTAGATCCAAAAGCATCCTTCTCTTTCCTGTTTCCTGGTCTACATTTTGTTCTGTGAAAAGACAACTGACTCGATTCTCACACATAGATTTGGCTCTAGGGAAAGATAAGGTCCCTGCCTTCTGTGGATGAAAGACATGAAATCAAATAATGGGAAACCTGATGAGAGCTTAAGAAAGAATAGAGGAGTCATCAGGGACACCAAGAAAAAAGAAATTCTGTAGTATAAGCCAGAGGAGTTTGAGCTGAGGCTTGAGTGATGAGTGGGAATTCTCCAGACAGACGAGAGGGGAAAAGCATAAAGGAGAGTTGGGAAGCTGTGTTGGGGAACATTGAGAAACTGTCAGGAAAATAGGCGGAGGATAGATCAGGAAGGGCTTTTTGAGATTGCATTAAGTAACTATAGTAGTTCCCCCTTACCCACGGTTTCACTTTCCTCAGTTTCAGTTACCTTCAATCAACCATGATCTGAAATATTAAATGGAAAATTACAGAAATAAACAATTTGTAAGTTTTAAATTGTGTGTTGTTCTGAATGTGGTTTGCTCAAATGTGCTTGATCAAGTAAAATACACCACCCATACCTCCACAATTCGATCTCAAAGAAATACTTTGTGGCCTCATTGGGGGTGGCAGGGTTGTCATGTGGAAAAGTGACAGGCAGCCACCAATGCATTCACCCAGCTTTAGGGAAAGCCCAAAAACAGATCCAACCACAGACTGGGGACCAAACGACAAAATTGAGAGGCTTTTCATTGAGACCAACAATCTCAGCTAACTTGAACATAGATCAGTGATAAACCAATGAATACCTGCCTCCTGAGGGCTTTGTGTACAGCGGCTAAAACTAATATTGACTGTACTGTTTTAGATTTATTTTTGCTAGGTTTCTCTATGAGCATTTTAAATGGGATCTCTAATGCCTAGAGACGATTATACAACAGTCAAGTCAGCAGTTCAGTAGCAGCTCCATCTTTTCCATCTTTGTAAAATTAAGATTGGATTCTAGATCTAAAGCACTTCAGTTTCAGAATCTCAAAAAGGTAAAGCTTAGGGGTGCAAAGAAATGGATTAGAAATATAATGAGTGAAAAAACATGCACATAAACCTCTGCCCTTTTTTTTTCTCTCTCTCTCTCTCTAAGCTTTGCAGGTGAAAGAGAGAGAGAGAGAGAGAAAGAGAGAGAGAGAGAGAGAGAGAGAGAGAGAGAGAGAGAGAGAGAGAGAGAGGTCTTTCAACCAAAACTCAATCATCTACATCTGGTTGCATATGAATGAAAAGCCACTATTAATTATATTTGACATCAAAAGTTAACAAGAAAAATCTAGCAGGCATTCATCCTTCCCTGTTCTGCATCACTATGGAGATTGAGGAAAAGGGACAATGGCTCTCACATAAGTAAAATGTACTGGTTACAAATATGGGTCATGGTATGAGACTGCATGGGTTCAAATTCTGGCTCTGCTGTTTATGATCATAGACCTTAGACAATTTACCAGACCTCTCTGTGCCTCAGTTTCCTAAGCTGTAAAACACCTTAGGGTCATTCAGAAGATTAAATGAGTTATTACAAAGAATGTGCTTAGAAGGAATGCAGATAGGGTTCAATAATTGTAAGCTATTATTAATGTGTACAGAAATCTCCAAATGTTTTGCAAAGAAATATTAATTGTTTCACTTACTTAAAGTGTTGAAAGCTCTGAAGTTGGAGGATGTCAAAAGTAAAGTCCCAAAGTATAGGTAATGAGACCACTACCAACAGTGCTGCCACTCCAGGCAAACGCAGCTTAACTCTAACATGCTCGTGTCTAAACAGTTAGTAAGTGTTAGTTAATTATATCTCTCATAGTTCACTTTAACCTGGCAATAAAGCTTATACCTCAGAGATGCATTTAATGTAGAATTTCAATCCCTGTTAAGGCAGGAGAGGGGAGGCTTTTAAGAGCCTACGAAACCATGTGCCTCCAGTAGAGGGATATTCTGCCTGCCATACAAATCCAACTAGTCACCTTGTCAGAGTTCAAGTTTACTAAAAAATAGGCCCCTCTCTCCCCCCAGGTGTTCTCTGATTCCAGCTTTGCTCTTTGCAAGTTCAGGTCTCAGTCTGAGCCTAAAAAGTCTGGCACCTCCCCCAAAAAAGAAAATGGGGGAGGAAAAGAAAAACACTCTCATGACTCCTTTTGTTTGTTTGTTTGTTTTTTGTATTTAAAGACATGCAAAGCCTAGAAAAGCTCCTGAGAGATGCTGTAATCTATGGCCAGCCTCGAACCCGCAGAGCTTGGAAAAAGATTCTCATCCTGGTAGAGGGCATCTACAGGTATGTAAATAACCGAAGGCATTTAAACACGCTGAGGCCCACTGCAAGCTGAAAAATGGGGAAAGGCTGATCTCTCCTAGCTAAAGGAAAAAATGAGCTAGATATAGGTATTAGGAAGGGATTTGAACTAGAACTATCCATGTGAGCTGTAAGGCCTTGGGTCACCTGTTTTTTACATGTCTATACATATGGCGGAGCACCTTGGAGGCTGGCATGCTTATGAAGGCTCCTTCAGCAGCACCCTCACAGAGCACTGCTAACTTGCAGTGATTCTTTCCACTTCCTTTGACTGCCCCACAGTTTTAAAGGCCTTTAGGGGTTGAGTGATTCAACTTCAGAATGCTACCTATCCTTACGTCCCTTAATAGATGTTGCTGACAGGTCCCCAGATGCTCCTAACTGGACAGTTCACCCAACCTGCAGTTTTTTGCTGAATTTGGCCAGTAATTGGCATCAGAATACAAAAAGCCTGCTCATTTTCCTCAACCTGCAGTGCAATTCTCCGTAGAGAGCTTGGGTATTGGGGTGAAGGAGATTGTCTTAGCATCTGTAGGTATGCTCTAGACTAAAATTTCCCATCTCTTTTAAGCTGAGCAGACAAAACACCCACTAAGTCATTCAGAGCTGTGCTTTCATATTGCAGCTTGTGAGTGAATTTGCTCACTCTCTCTCTGAATTGATTATCATTACTGAAATGGAAATTTCCGCCAAAATTGGCTTCTGTTGTAGGCTTTAGTCCATGAGTCAAGGAAACATTATCTCAGAGTTACTCACTCCTAAATCAGTTCTCAAATAATCCTAATATTAGAGGAACTGAGGAAGATGTTTCCTATGAGATAATTATAGAAAGGAAAAATATGAAAAGGAAGAGAGTGAGGGCTTAACTGCCCAACAAAGAGGAGTGTGGGTTACAAAGGAGACTTGAGAACAGAAGTAGTATTGCTTTCAGCCAGCTAATCTAACCGGACCCAGAGTGTACACGTTTCTGTTACATGAATAAATAGCAAGCAGCAGAAGAAACGTGTCTCTATCCCTTTTGGAAAAAAATAAGTGCTTTCTCCCAAATTTAAAATCATCCTCTTCCTCTTCATCACCCTAGTATCATTTTATTTTTTTCTCTAGTACTTACTGCCCCAGTCATCAGCGTTCTAGGTGTTCCCCTAATGCTACTGCAGGGTTACAAAGTTGGCATTTCAAGTTTCCAGTAGCCCGCCTTCTCTATCACCTCTCAGGACCTCCTCAGGTCAGCCAGAGAGTGTGTGCTGTTTATGAAGTCTCTGGGATCACCCTAGAGCAGCGTCCTCAACCAGGGTGGTTTCTCCACCCACATCCCAGGCACACTGGGCAATTGTCAGTTGTCACAACTGCAGTAAAACACTATCGGCATCTAGTGGGCAGAGGCCAGAGATACTACTAAACATCTCACAATTCACAGAATAGTCCCCTACAACAAAGAATTATCTGGCTCAAATGTCAACCGTGCTGAAGTTGGGAAACCCTTCTGTAGAATAATTGAACTCACTGGCCCTGAATTTGCTACTTTTAGGAAATAATGTCCTATTGTCTCTGGGCTGTCGTAACCGCAAGTGTGGATCTTTCTTCCTGTGTGATTTGTGCCAGCTGCCAGCCTGGGAGGGGAGCCCTTATCTAAACACCTGTCGCTCAGGCCTGGACTAGCCGGAGGGCATACCAGCTGAGGGAGAGCAGACTGGGCATCTCCTTTAACCAGAGTAAACAGAACCCAACTGCAAATAAACAGAACTTGGCTCCACTAAAGGAAAGTTATGTTTTAAGCACTTTGATCATGGCTGAAATTAAGTGGACTACCAGCATTTTACTCTCATACATGCCCATCATTTACACAGAGAAACCATTCCAGCAGCAGGGCTTATTAATAGCTACACTGGCTCTGTGTCCTACTGTGATGTCAGGAGGACATGAGAGCCAGGTGTGGACTTCTGGCTCTAAGCCAGCATGGCACCAAGCCACAACTTAGGCTTCACTAGAAATGTTTCATTATCTATTGCTGCATAATAACTCCCCCCCAAAATATATATAATGGGTTACACAGCAACGAGTTTTTATTTCCCGTGCTACTGTGAGCTGTCTTCTGTCCCACGTGGTGTTGGTTAAGGGTAATTCATGAGGCTGTATTCCACTGGGAGTTCAGCTGGGGCTGGAACATCCAAAATGACCTCACTCACATATTTGGGGTCTTGGTACTGGCTGTTGACTGAGTCCCTGTTTCTCTTCTCTTCTGTGGGGTGCTTTCTCTATATTTGGCACTTCTCATTCAGCAGTATAGCCAGAGCTTCCTTCCAATGCAGCAGCTGGCTTCCAAGAGAAACAAAGCAGAAGCTGCCAGCCTTTTAAGGGCTAGGCCCAGAAGTGGTACAGCATCATTCCTGCCACACTCTGTTGGTCAAAGCACATCACAAGGCCAGCCCAGATTCAAAAGGAAGGGAAATAGAGCCCACCTCTTGATGGGAGGGTTGACTTGTGTGTACAGGGATGGGAAGACTTGTAGGCAGCCATCTTTGGTGGGAGCCTACCCCAGCGGCTCAGTTAACCTGGGATGTATACAGAGTGAATGTCCACTTCCCTTCAACTGGCCTTCACAGAGAGGTTCCTTTTATCTCACCTGCACAGGAATCTTGTCTTTAAATGAGAAGGTGACATAAATGGATTCATTCATAGATAGGAAGCAGGGTACTTTCTAGGCAGGCCTCAGCACACCCAGGGCCTCAGTTTCCTCGTTTGTAAAATAAGGCTAGCCTAGAGTTCTGGAACATATGCTTGTTCTCACTTGATGCTATCGCCAGAAAATGAAATTATTTCCCATAAGATTTTCAAAAGGGCCAGGGTTAGGAATGTGAAATCGATAGTTCACAAATGCACATCTACTTTTTAGAGGTGTATTGTGGAGACATACCGTGTTTCTATTTACATGAAACCTCCTTTGAGTTTTCACTGCCAGATATTTTTTATCTCTTGCTTGTGGTTTCCCGCCATGGGCAAAGTCTTCTCACCACAGAAAGCTCACATAAATCAATGTTTTCATATCTCTCAAAGAGAGCAGTCAGCCAAATCAGAAGGTTTCAGGCAGGTATCAAGGTAGCAAAGGCCATATACCATGGCCAAGAAGTCAGTGAGCTCCACAAAAGCAGTGATGATGATGATGGTGGTGATGATGCGAATAATAGCAATGATAATAATGTCACCATCCATAGACCATCTAGGTATTGTTTACATATAGAATACAGAAGAGTCAGGATTTGGAGGGAGGCCTGGGACTTCCAAATCCTGGTGTTGCTGCTTACAGCAGAGTACCCTCCATAGGGTTCTTTTGTAGTGTTAAATGAGATCATATAAGCTCGTTGTTGCCAGAAGCCCAGCCCATAGTAAGCCCACAATCAAGAATAGCTGCCTTCATCACGAAATTTATTTTCAGTTGAGGAAGTTGCAGCTTGGAAAACAAACTGTCTACACAGTAAAGCTGTTTGTTTTTCACCCACCTGGAGAAGGGGTGTCAGTGGAAGGAACTCATGTTTATCATGTGTCTACCCCTGCTAAACATTTCACATGTGCCATCCTGAGTGAGCCTCTCCAGGTCTCTTGAGGAAATTGTGAGGATGAAGACACTGACACTCTGAGGCCTCATAGATAACTGAGATGAAACAGAGCTATGACTCAAACCGGGTGGCCCGGCTGGGACACAGGCCCAATGTAAACATAAGAGTCAGCTCATTTTTCCACATCTAAGAAAATAAACACGGAAACTGCGAGGTCACCCATTTGACTTTTACTTGTAGGTAAAGGGCTCAGTTTCTTGATCTATAAAATAGGGAGATTGAAACTTGAAGCCTAAAGTTCCGTGACTCCATGATTTTGGATTTCAAATTACTATCATTTCAAGTCACACTCCTAATTTTGTGTCTCTAAGAAGTCTAGTGTTTGACTCATTGTGGCTGAATAATCTCAAAATTATTCAAAAATATACTAGAGATTGGAAGAGGCAACCCAAATAACCTGAGATATCAACTATCATAAATGTAGCCCAAATTTTCAAAATAAAATTAACCAATAAATAATATCCAGCCCTTGAAAAAATCCATATATAAACAAATGCCGAAGCCTCGGAATGCCATTACCTCTAAGAATATAAGCCATTCTCCTCAAAATAATGTAAGTTTAACGACTGAGAACTTCAGTGTTAATCTTTAACCTATACCTCTATGGTTTAAACAAATAAAAAGAATGAGGAAACACTAATTACTCTACTTTTAATTAGTCTTAGCTCCTTTTGTTCTCTCTTTCCACCTTTTTTTCTTCTCTTGGGTTATACTTTGGGCCCACCAAGGAGATTTTTCCACCATGTAAGTTGGCAAACCAGTGCTTTAATTCCCAATTCTGCCAGTGGATAATGTGGTTTATATGTGTAGGAGAAAGTGGTGAGAGGGAGATTTCTAAAAGGAGTCTTGTCACTTAGCTAATACATTATGTAATAGAAAGATATAAAGAAATTATTCACTGGCTTGCTGGTTTAAGAATAATCCAAGTCCTTGCACAGAGCTTCAAATTAACTGGTAGAATTATCTTTACCTACAGTTGTATTTTAGTTGTTTTTCTTCTGTTGAAATCTAAAGAAAGCACAATCTTCCATTCAAGAAGAAAGAATAAAACACTGTTCTTGTTTTCTGTATCGTTTTTGACACATTTTTTAACAGCAATTCAGAGGAAGAGCATAGACAGCCTTTCCTGTGTAGGCACCAACTCAATATCCCACTATAGCAAAACGTTCAATTCAAATTGGATCACAATGAGAAAATGAAAACTTAGTGTGAGTGAACATAACTCTTTATAAAAGCTGAGTTCTCCCTAGGACTCGTGTGTGCCCTGCATTAACTCCAGAAATCAACAGTATCGTAGAGTCATTAATCTTAGAAAGAGAAATATAAACCAGGTGGGTAGACTCCTAACATCAGCTAGACCAGCCCCAGCGAAGGATGGCTAATTAGCTGCCCTGAGTGTCTGCAAACTGTTCAACATTAACTCTAGCTCCTGCCAAATTCAGTTCCAGAACAAAGAATGGTTATTTGTGACATGTCAGGTTTTTAGTATATTTGTGTTACCAACTTATAACATTTTAAAGATGAGAAGAAAGTTCTAGAATTCTGAGGGCAGAGAGCCATTTATTATGTATGACACCCATATGCCTCTTTCCTAGAAGATGCAACACAGAACATTGTCAAGGTTTCCTTGCTTCTCAAGTTAAACCTCATTGCAATCATTTCCTCCTAGGCTTCTAAGAATAAGAACAACCCAATGAGAGCTCATTATGTGTCAGACACTTTATTGGCATTACTTCTAGTCATCCTTATAAAGACTATATAAGGAGGGTCCCATAATCATGCTTATTTTACATATGAGGAAGCAGAGGCCCAGAACAGCATATAAATTGCCCACGTCCTCAATTAGTAAGCAGCGGGGCTTCATCTAAGCTTAAACAATCAGATGGCTATACCTCCTGAACCTCAATGAAGACAATTTTAATAAGCAATTGATCTAAGAAAATATTGGCATTCACTCACAAAACTTATGTTAAGAGAAGATGACTCTATCTGGCCTTCACTTCATTACAGTCTGAAAACTGCCATCCAGAATGGCTTTGTGAGGGTGGCCGAGTGGCGCGGTGGTTAAGAACTGGCTTGGGATGCCAGAGGGCCCCGGGTTCGGATCCCACATATGAGGGCCAGTGACACTGCCCTCCACAGCTAAGATGCTGAACAACAGCTCAACCTGGAGCTGGGCTGCAATGAGTCGCCGGCGACGGCGTAGGCTGCAGCCCCTGTGGCGGTGGGTTGCCGTGGGCTACCGTATGTAGCCAGCAGCCAGCGTGAGCGGCCTTCCAGAAGCCGGCGACTGATCTGCCTCACCCGGGAAGAGCGCAATGATGGTGCCAACTTGGGCCAGTGAAGCAACGTCCTCCACAACTAGACTGAAGAACAAAAGGACAGCAACTTGTCTGTTCCCCTTACCCCAATTCCCCAGCACTGTTCCCATCCCCTCAATTCCCCAATAAAAATCTTAAAAAAAAAATGGCTTTGTGAAAAGCACATGGGCAATAAGCTGACTTCATTAAAATGAAGAACTTCAGCTGTGCAAAGACAATGTCAAGAGAATTAGAAGACAAGCCACAGACTGGGAGAAGATATTTGCAAAAGAGACATCTGATAAAGGACTGCTATCTAATATATAAAGAATTCTTAAAATTCAACAATAAGAAAACAAAAAAAAAACCCAATTAAAAAATGAGCCAAAGACCTTAAGAGATACCTCACCAAAGAAGATATACAGATAGAAATGTGCATATGAAAAGATGTCATATGAAAAGATGTCATAATCAGGGAAATACAAATTAAAACAATAAAATACAACAACACACCTATTAGAATGGCCAAAATCTGGAACACTGACAAAAGTAAATGCTGGCGAGGATGTACCTCAACAGGAACTCTGATTCATTGGCTGGTGGTAATGCAAGATGGTACAGTCACCTAGGAAGACAGTTTAATGATCTCTTACAAAATTAAACATACAATCCAGCAATCTTGCTCCTTGGTGTTTATCAAAAGGAATTAAAAGCATATATCCACACAGAATACCGCAAAGAAATCTTTCTAGCATCTTTATTATACTTGCCCAAACCTGGAAGCAACCAAAATGCCCTTCAGTCAATGAATGGATAAACAAACTGTGATACATTCAGACAATGGAATATTATTCAGCACTAAAAAGAAATAGGCTATCAGGCCATAAAAAAACTTGGAGGAAAAATAAATACATATTACTAAGTGAAAGAAGCTAATCTAGAAAGGTTACATAGTGTATAATACCAACTATATGACATTCTGGAAAAGGCAAAACTGTGGAGACAATAAAAAAATCAGTGGTTGCCAGGAGTTGGGTATGGAGCGGGATGAATAGGCAGAGCATGGTGGATTTTTAGGACAATGAAAATAGCCTGTATAATATTATAATGATAGATATATGTCATTATACATTTGTCCAAACCCATAGAATGCACAACATTAAGGTAAACTATGGGCTTTGAGTGATGCTGTGTCAATGTAGGCTCGTCAATTGTAACGAATGTACCATTCTGGCGAGGGATGTTGATAGTGGGGGAGGCTATGCAGGTGTGGGGCATGAAATACATAGGAAATCTCTATACCTTACATTCAATTTTGATGTGAACCTAAAACCACTCTAAAAAATAATCCTTTAGAATACACACGCACACACACACACGCTTCAACTCAATCTTCATACTTTCTCCAAACCAACACCCATTGGACTACTGTACAACCAGCTGGACTGTTTTGACTGAGTTGACCTAACACTTGAGTTTATTTTTTTAAATACATTAAATGTAATAAATAAACTAATTAGGAAGAAGGGAGAACTTCAACTCTCTGTTTGCGTCAGTTGATTAGCTCTTGAACTAAATTGACAGGTTGCTTGAATTGTTTGACAGACTCCTTTGTGTGGTGAGGGTGTGAGTCTGTGTGTTTTCATAGAGCTCGCCTGTCAGTGCAGTCAAAACTGTATGCGATTTAGACACAACTTACAAAGTGTTCTGAGAACTGATTAAAGTCAAAAGTTCTTTTAAATTCATTGAGTCCCAGAGGTGCCATGTAAATATAAATTATAATTTTACTTAATTATTACTTCATATTTTTCCCTTTGCTGGAGGACTTGAAGTGTTTTTGCAACTTAACAATACCATGAAAATTTAAGTACTTAGGACTAAAACAAAACAGTTTATCTATGGCAGTAGTTCTCTAAGTGTTCTCCCCCACCAATAGTATGGCCACCTCCTGGGAGCTTGGTAGAAACAGCCCATTCCAGGCCCATGAAATTAGAAAATCTGGGAGGGGGGCCCAGTAATCTGAGCTTTAATGAACCATTCAGGAAATTCTGGTGCTCACTTGATACTGAGAACCATTACCTTAAAGAACAGAAAGAAGGAACACCATCAGCTGTCTCAAAAAAACCCTTGACTTCCAATGAGCACAGCAGTCCCCAGCTTATCATGGTTTTGCTTTCTGCCAGCTCAATTACCCACAGTCAACTACAGTCTGAAAATATTAAATAGAAAATTCCAGAAATAAACAATTCAAAAGTTTTAAATTGTGCATCATTCTGAGTAGCATGATGACATCTCATGCTGTCCCTCTCCATCTCACTGAGGATGTATGTATATATATATATATATATATATATATATATATACTTCCCCTCTGTTAGTCACTTAGTAACCATCTTGGTTCTCAGATCAGTTATCAGAGGTGGGGGGAGAGAGAGAACATTCACAACATTTATTACAGTATATTGTATAATCTTTATTATTAGTTATTATTGTTAAATAATAACTGTGCTAATTTATAAATTAAATTTATCATAGATACACAAGTATACATAGGAAAAAAACATAGTATATATAGGGTTTGGTACTATCCTCAGTTTCAGGCATCCACTGGAGGTCTTGGAACTTATCTCCTGAGGATAAAAGTATGACTATATTGAACATGAGAGCCTAAGGACTTTCTATTGTACTTTAATTAATATTATGTGTCCCAAAGTTATTTTGTATGTTTTTAGTTCCTTCTTTTAATCTTTGGTAATTTAAGCACTGAGGTTAGATCAGACAGAACTGGCCAAATAGATAGTGGCAGGCTAATAAAGATGGATCACCACAGAGCAATTTAATTAAAACTAGCAAAATACCTCAAATAATGGTCAGTCTAGTTACAATAGTCAGCTTTACAAATAAATTGATCAACAATGTCATGAGCTAATTGTTTACTTTGGAATTAGCTATATCAACTCAAAGCACTTACATCTACTGAATGTAAATTATTTTTTTCATATAAAATAGTGCCAGATTAGCCTTTTAAGATTGAGAGGGTTGTCTCAGCTGAATAAAATATCCCTTAAAAAAAAAGGACTGGCATGTCCCTGTCATCCCAGGCTGATGTCAGGGCAAGCTGTCTGAAAAGAACTGAAAGGGAGACGACGCAGAGCTTCCCAGGGCCATACACACTAGTGATGAGCATTTCTCCTTATGCCCTAGCATGGAAGGTTCCATCGTGCATCTGCCCCAGATCGTGGCTCTAAAGAAGAAATACAAGGCTTACCTCTACATAGATGAAGCTCACAGTATTGGGTCCGTGGGCCCAACCGGCCGGGGTGTAGTGGAATTCTTTGGAATGGACCCTCGAGATGTCGATGTGTTGATGGGCACATTCACCAAAAGCTTTGGAGCCTCAGGAGGTTACATAGCTGGAAGGAAGGTAAGAGAGGCACTCCTGGTGCCTATTTAAAACCTGACCGCTCTGGGGACACAGTCTGCAGGGCGTCTCTGGATTCTGTGAGAGCTTCAACTCAGTTCACCACATCTCAACTGATCACTGCAGCCTCAGGGCAGTGGCTTCACAGCTAAGTAGAGCCCCAAACATTAGGAGCTCACCCTCTGACAGTGCAGAGGAGCCTATGAAGAGTAATCACAATATAGTAAGACGGCAACGCTGGTGGTGTACACGGGCAGACTTACTGCAAAGAGATGATTAAGTCTGCAAGGCAGTAATGGAAGCAGTCTTAGAATGAATGTCAGCCTTGTAGACAAATGATGGGGGGATTACATTTCTGTACCCCAAATCACATAGATAATAAGGGGATATTAAAGAACTGTAAGTAATTTGGGTTTTGTAACATGAAAACACAAAGCAGATAATAGCAACAGTGGGCAAAAATCAGATATTAAGGAGGTGGACACTGTGCTACAAGTTGTGGGTTTTAAGAGTTTGAATTAAAATAGTGGTAGCAATATCATAAACACCCTTTTAAGGGATTTTCTCAGCAAAATGATTGTCTTCCACAATTTTGGATAAGCCATAGCTCAAATCTTATCATCCTCTATTACCTTATCTATATGCCTTAAAAATCCTGATTTGATGAGATTAGACCAATAAGTGAACGTTATCCCTGTCATTCTAGTGCCAATGTCACCAAGGGGGGTTGCCAATATAAACCAATAAATGTTTAAAAGAAATTTAGAAGAAGAGGGAAGCAGAAAAATAAAATGAAATATTCAAACATGGGTTTGAGGGATAAAGGAGACAATTGCCTGCTCCATTATATGACAGTTTTATCCAAATCCTGATAGCTATCTCATAGAGGCCTACACCTGTCCCAAAGAGAGTGTATGACAGTGCTGTTGCCTCTGCCTAGGAGGGCACAGCAGGCACCAAACCAGTGCAGTGCCTGCAGGTGGCATCAACAGCTTACCTAAAATTTCCAATCCCTTACTTGATGTGACCAGCAGGAACACGAGTTCAGACGCCTGGTAAACCAGTTAGACAAATCAGGGATTACAGCCAAAAACAGTCTAACCATTGAAAACCTGTGATTTAAAACAACAGACTTCATTGTGGCCACTTGCCCTGCCATGAGATGCAAACATGTTTCAAATGTTCAGAGTTTTCAGTAGTCTTTACCCTTCAATAAGCACTACTTTCTTCCTAGCTCAAAGCATTGTTTTTCCTCCTGTGGGAATTAGCTGGGTAATGCTAAAAACATAGGTAATGCCCAGGATCCTACAAAATTCAGCTAAGTCTGGTGAAAGTTTAAACATTCTTTGACTGTCGAAGCAGTGGGATCAGAGGGTCTCAGATGTAGGAGCTCCCTTCTCCGGGCTGCAGTGCTTTGTGAACTTGTGGTTTTGTGATTACTTTAGCAGCAGTTCTGAGCTACAAAAATTTTAACCAACCGTAACTCTGTTTCCTGAACCAAAGGCACCTGAATAAACTGAAGCAAGCGGATCCTTGAAATATTGTCAAATTTGGTAGATGTCACATTTTTCCCCTTAAAGTTCCTTCATTTGATACTCACTGTAAACAAAAGCTCGTGACTACTCCAAAGTAAGGACCAGCTCACAGTTTTCTCACATATTCTCCATCCTGAAGTCAGACTATTTTTAAAGTGCATTTGCTTTTGTCTATGTGAATTCTGTTCATTTGGGGTAGATACCGAGCAATTGTGAAAAGTATTATTATTTACATTCATTAAGATGCAGAAAAAGTATGCAGAGCTGTTCATTCTCTTGCTCTTTAAAGTGCTCATTCTGTGCATGCTTGGGTCCAGAGGGCTGCATCATTCCTCCACCTCCTCTCCTTCGCATCCCCTCTCTCTTCTCCCTCATGTTGCCCTGCAGTCTCTGAATTCACCACTAGATGGCAGCAAGAATAAGAGAGTGTTTGGCGGAGATCCATTAGCCAATACAGAGACCTTCTGCCCTGAAATGGCAAGATGCAAAACCTAGAAAAGTTAGGGCAGTTTTCAAGACATGGAGGATGAGCAGATTGGAGGCCACTTGAGAAATCGTCTGTATGTTTCATTCCTTGATGATTTAGAAGTCAGTCAGATACACCTGTGGAATGGTTTGGGTGAGCCTGTTATAAACCCAGATAAACTGTGGTTTCCTTCCATTCTAATGAATAAATGGAACTTTTGTGTCTGTTCCTCTGTACCTTTAATGTTAAAAATTATGTTAATTTTAAATTATGTGCCATTTCAATTTAAATCGCAGTTTCTGTTCTCACAGACTGTGAATAATTTGGGGAAGAATTTTCACTTTAAGTTTGTTTAAAACTGATAGAGCATAGGATTGGACAGATGCTAAAGATTTACATTTGAAAAAAATCACTCCACTTATCTATTTAAATAATTAGAGTACAGTTTTGAGAGTTTCATCATGTTTTTTTCCTGGATATTTTGCAGTATATATCTCAATTTGGAGGGTATGGAAAATATCCAGGATTCTAAACCAATGGGTACAAAAGCAACAGAATCAAGTATAAAAAAATGTTAATGTGCACACACTGGGACTTTACATTTTTCTGAAATTCTAATAATTTCAATTTTATTGTGCTCATGGAGTCCTTCGTACATCTTGAAATTTAAAAATTATTACTTGGGTCCAAAAATCTAGAAAAAGATAAAACTGACTGGCTCTTAACTCTCTTTTTAAATGTCAATGTTAGGGTTAGTTGTAGATGGACTATATTCCCAATACCAGTTTCTAGGAGGCTCTAGAAATCTTTCTCAAGTTGGTCAAGGTCAGAAATATATACATTAGCAACCAGATGCATCACGTAAGAAAAAAGATATTTGAAAACAAATAAGTGGAGAACAAAATTGGTTTGGTGCTAAGATACTCCCACAGACAGTAGAGATTTTTGTCTTGACTTCAGTCTTCCTGACACAAAATGACCTACAAATTTTTCTCTGCTTATTGGAGTTCACTGCCCTGGCCTCAACCTTCTCTCCCCACCTCAGGGAAACTGCTAAAACAGTCTCTGAAGAGTTAGATTTTGCTATTTTGCTGTCTTTGAGTTTGGAGCTGCTATAGATGATCTGTGAACAACCCAACTTGCAGCATTCTGTCCTTTTAAGACTTTTGAGATGAAATGTCAGGTAATTACTTCTCTCCATCTGTCAGCGCTCCATGCTATGAATGGCTTCTTTAAAGAATGTCTGAGCTAATGAAGCTAGGTTTCTTATTTTCATTTTTTAATTTTCATTGATCCAGTGCCTGAGACGGGTCAACACTGCAAACCCAGTTTTGCAGTCCAGGTTTTTCTCAGGCATGGATCCGGAGTCTTCTTGCACAGCCTCCACGGCTGACCAGAGACTTGCAAATGAAGGAAGCACAGGTAGCCCTCATGATTGATAGGCTGCAAGGGCTGGAATTCTGGAGAGGGAAGTGGGGCAGGGCAGCCCAGTTTGTGGCGAGCATTAGCCCCAGAAGTCTGTGTGTCAGACAAAGGCAGGCCCTTCACAGAAGCCAGCTCTGCCCTGTGTGCTCAGCCCTGGCTGTATTTAACAGCCCTTTGAAGTAAATGGGGGTCATGGAATGAATGCCAAGATGTTTATTCTAAGTGTCTCCTGTCTGATTTTCTCAGAAGAGCTACCCTTGTCCTTGAACTCCAGGCCTATGGGTAGAGAAAATAATCAGGATTTTGAACTTACAAATGGACTTGGAAACCTCAGTCTGAGGAGACCTCTAACCCATCCTGAAGGAAGACACAACCCAGACTCCCCTTGCAAAAGACCAAAGCCAACTCTTAATTCATGGCTCATGGTACCCAATGAGGGAATGCTAGGAGGAAATAAAAAACCAGGAAACAAGGCTCTCCTTGATGCTCTGCAGAAGTTACTCAAAGAACCCATTTTCTGAACCACACAAGCAAAGTAGCCCCTGTCCATACACTCAGACTCTGATAGAAAGTGGACTTGGTCTAAAAAAATAAGATTATGGGCAAGATATGCTTAATGTTAAATTGAAGTGATATTGCACTGATGAGGCATTTATTCAAACTAAGAATGCACGTGATCTTGGCTTTATGAAATCTCTCGATTTGGGAAGGAAAATTGGGAGTAGGGACATTGAGAAGAGCCCTTTAGGGATCAAAGGCAGCTTGTTTTGTTTCTTTGTCTGATCTTGGACAGCAATGCCCCAAGACTAAGAGAATATTGCTACATTTGTTCCTAAGAATACAGTTTAGCATTCCCATATATACTTCAGGGACCCTCGCCATCCTTCCTCAATCCCTAAAATCTCCCTGATCTTCATTAGACCATCAGTATTTACCAGACCCCTGCTAAGTACTCACTACTATGGGTTTTCAGAGAAATATCTAACTCTGTCCCTGGCTTTCAAGGAGGTTTCAGTCTCTTTGGTGAAATAAGATGAATAGACATAAAATATTTGAGACTGATGAGATTCAATCTGTGGTTTAATACTATAAACACTTAAGTATATAGGGAATTCTCCCCTCTTACCCCCCAAAAGAGGAGCAATCACTGTAGATTAGAAAAAGCACCACAGAGTTAAGTAGAAGTGAATGTAGCCTGTATCCTCCTGGTCCCCCACTTCTGGTCTGGAGGTGTAATATAGTGTGGTGCTAAGGGCGGGGACCCTAGGACCAGACTCTGGGTCCAAATCCTTGTTATTCAATGACTTTTTGGTTGGATAATTTTGTGATCCTTTCTGAGACTCAGTGATATCATCTATAAAATGGAGATAAAAATAGTACCTACCTCATAGATTATTGTGAAGCTAAAATGAGTTAACATATGTAAAGTTATTACATGGAGCCTCAAGGAACCAATGAATTTCAGCTACAGACATATCAGTGACTATATCAGCTATGTTATCTCTTCAGAGTCATGCAATCTGTCATCAAGTCTGGGTACTCCTTTTTTTTAAATGCCTCTCTTTTCCTTTCTTTTCACGCCTACCACTACCACTCCAATAAAGATAGAGGAAGCGTTGGGCTGAAAATCTTTGGCTTGATGTCTGAGTCTACCAATGTATCATTACATAACCTTAGAACGTTACCCTCTGCAAAATGAGAGAGCTGGAATAAAGACACTCCATGGAGTTTTAATATTTTGATCCCCTTGTCCCACCCCATGCTCCTAGTTCTAAGAATCTCTGATTTGGCAATTCATTAATAAGACTTGCCAACAGTATCATGTATTTACTATGTACCAGACACTATTCTAAGCACCATATGTGTATTAACTCATCTAATCCTCATAATAACTCTGAGGTAAGTATTGACATTATCTCATTTTTCAGAGAAAAAAAAATGGAACAGAGAGATTTCGTAACTTGCCTATGGTCACATATCAGAAAATGGCAGAGCCAGGGTTTGAACCCAAGCAATCGGGTTCCAGAGCTTGTCTCATAACTCTGACATCATACGTCCCCTCAAGGAGAAGATTCCTCATCACCTTTTCTTGAAAACACCAGCTTCTGCCTTTATTCTTTGCTGATTAAGATGCCATCTTTATTCCTAATTTTAGCACATGTCCATGCCTCTCCCCTCCTCTGCATTTATCCAAATCTATCCGCCCTTCAAGGCCAGGTTACCTCCCTGAAACAGCCCTTTCCTGACTCAGGTCTATATGAGTTCCTATCATCCCATCTCCTGCACCCCTCCTACTGTCTCCTTGGCATCCTCTCAGGAGCCACTAGCTCTCAGCAAAGAAAACCCCTGCTCCTGCTCAAAGAGGAGCACTAAATATAAAGCTGTGAAGGACATCCCAGTTGCAATTACTCTGGAAAATGGCTGCCTCTCTGTCTTTGAGCTCCCCTCCCCACCCTCCTCCCAAGTTAACTTCCCGAATACTGTGTGGCCAGTGCCTTAAGTTAGGCATCATCCTGCACATACTCCCCAACTATGGTGAAAACCCACCCAACCATTTTTTTCAGATTCACTAAACAAAAGAATAGAAAGAAACTAAATTTTAATATAAGTGGATAAGAGCTGCCAAGGACTAGGTTTTCTATCTTTCTCCTTTTCTTGGACTCCCACATCCAGAACATAGCCTGGAGCAAGTCCTTGTACAAACTGGATAGAAGGAAAGATGGAAGGAATGAAAAAGGTAGTGGTAGTGGGGGGTAGGGGGGTAAGGAGTAAAAAGAGAAAGAGAAAAAAGGAAGGAGGAAGTGAGGAAGGAAAGAAAGAAACAGAAATGTAGAGAGAAAATTTAAGTGGAGAATTTGAAATTAAAAGAAGAAGGGAAAGAATCAGAGTAGAAGGAAAGGAAGAAACAATAAACAAAAAAGGAAGGAAGAGTGTGAAATGAAGGAGAAGAGGGAGAAAGGAATTCAGGGAAGAAGGATGCATGGACGAGGCGATTTCAAATGAAGAACATATTGAAGGAAGCAGGAAGGACAGAATGGAGCTACCGGTCCCACGCATGGACCAGGTAGAGGTATCATATCACCAACAAAGTTGTGAGGCAGGCCACTCACTGTACTTTGGAAGAGGAGCTATGAATGTTTAAAATGCTTGTGAATGACCATGCCACCCATACCCCAAGAGAGACAGAATAGTGAAGGGCAAGGCACAGTCACAGGCTCAGGGGTAGCAATGCTGTGGCCAGTGAAGGGAGCTTAGGAGGAGATGGGCCTGCACAAAGCAAAGCTCCTCTCAGTTCACCTACAGGAAGGAATAATCAGAGAAGATGCCTAAGTGGAATTCTAAGCTGTTTTGTTATCCTAGAAGAGAAAGTAGATGATTCTTTACAGACCCCACTGCTAACACAGATAGCCATCATCAGCTCATTAGCTTTTCTGCAGAACACCCAGGCAATGAGCCAGTACAGGTGGGCAGATAGATGATCTTCCTAGCTCGGGCTAAACGCCTCCAGATACCAGCTCTGAGGCCTCCCTGACTGTGGCATTAGATTATTGGCGTTTTTGGGGCTCTCAGCAGGCTTACCTGGGACTTTATATTTGGCTTCAGGAGTCAGGGATTCAGGTGGAGAGTAATCCCTACCACTGAAAACCAGCTTTCTGTAGTGGGTCAGCACTCCAAACAGTGTGGCACAAAAATTCCAGTAGTTCCCAATTGCCCAACGCATAGCCAGAGTTTATTTGGTCTTAACCTACACTCTAGTTTACTTTCTCACCTCTCCCTCTAACATTCCATTCCCCCACTCAAATTTTCTTTTGCTCTATATTTGACTTCATTCTTAAAGACTTGAACAACTTCACTTCCTCACTGGAACCTTTTCTATCTACTCTGGCTAACAATACCTCCTCTGCAGACTTGTAGGCCTGTTGAATATACTAGTTTGTATGTCTTGTTACTTTTTCTACCATTGTTTTTCCATGGGCACAATTCAATGTAATATACTCAAGGGCAAGAACCACATCCTGTATTCTTTGGCTACTCCTGAATACTAAGCCAGTACTCATACATACTAAGTACTAATCAAATTTTTGGGAAATCATTTTTCCTTTACACACCTGGTTTGGCCTTTCATAACTTAACTCCAAACTTGCAGCCTTTGCTGTATGCCTTCTGAGTTTTTGAGGAAAAAACTAAGAGGGTTAGAAAAAAATAGTTGGGTGATGCCCATTGAAAACTGGACCACATTCAAGAATCGAATGTCCTGGGCCATGATGGATGGGGTTGGGACAAGATGTGATTCTCACCACCAACACTGAGATTTATTTTCCTTCTTTTTGTATTTCCCTCCTTTATTTAAAGGACCTTGTGGATTATTTACGGGTACACTCACATAGTGCTGCTTATGCTACGTCTATGAGCCCCCCGATAGCAGAGCAAATAATCAGATCAATGAAATTCATCATGGGACTGGATGGGACCATGCAAGGTAAGAGTGTCTGCAGTGAGCATAGCTCCCATAAACTCTTTCCCCAGGCTTCTCTTGGTCTCCTTCTGCCCCATCAATTTTCCCCTTCTCAAATATGCACCTTTGATTTAATCCAATTTATAAATCAAATCATGTGTACATAAATAGTACCTAATACACAATCATACATAGTACCTAAATGTAGTAGAGCTGCTGTCAGCATACAAACAAAGGAATGCTTTTTGAAAGCAAAGGAAACTTTGTAATTCACCTCTTAAGGTGATCAGCAAATGTGGATAATTTTGTGTAACTAGTTGTGTTAAAATGAAGCAAACAGTGGTGTGTGTTTGCCTCTGCTTGCTTAGGGCTGTCACTTGCATCTCCCTGAGAACAAACTAGTCAATTTAATATTCATTTTTCATCTATCCACCCACTATTTTGTTTGTTTGTTTGTTTGTTTGTTTGTTTGTTTGTTTGTTTACTTACTTAATGGGAGAAGAAATCCACCACTGACAACGTGTGGATGTATGGACAAAATGCACACAATAGTAACTTCCCAGCCACTTCTTTGATGCTGAGTCACCACAGCCATGATATGCTACTTTGCTCAGTCCTAATCAGCTTAATCTTCTTTTTGAAAAATTGTTTCATCAGGGCATCTTAGAACTTTCATATCTTTCAGATATCACTTAGAGAGCTTCTACTACATGTCCTAGTGCACATCCAGTGATGAATAAGGCAGTTCTTGCTGCCACACAGTCTAGTGAGTGCATTTATGAAAGTAGCAAATTATCATGGCCCCAAAACTGGCCTCTGAGCTAAACAATCCATGTGCCCCACTCCTCCTCCAGCTGATGTGAAGCCCTGCCTTGTTTAGTGGAAACTTACAAGCCTTGTACTTCAGCAGAAGCCTGAAAAGGTTCACCATTTTTCAATTTTATTGAAGCAGTAGAGTATTCACATACAACTTTTACCAACAAGCCTATTATATAAAACAGGTTAGAACAGAGCTGTTCCGGTTGAAGTACTGTCTCCCTCTACCTCCAAACTGATAGCCCCTGAGATCCTTCTTCTGAGCTCTAGTGCTTCCCAGGCCACTGGCTTGAAAACTTCCGAGACAGACCTTTTTCACTATCGCAGGAAAATGGCTTTTTTGTTCCTCCATGTAAAATGCAACCATTAATTGCAACTCTAAGATCCCTTCCAGCCTTGTTTTTTGGGTTTTATGATTCTGTGTCCTATTGAACAGTCTGCGTGAAAACGAAATGAAAATCAAATCTAGTGAAGCTGCATGATGCAATGGTTTAAGGGCATAGACTGAAAGTAGCTCCTTGGATTTGACTCCTGGGGTACTACTTATTTGCTGTGTGGCCTTAGTCAAGTGACTTAACTTGTCTGTTTAACCCCAAGACAGTTACTTCTGTGTGCGTCAGTTGCTCTGCCTATAAAATGAGGAAAATAATATTAATAAGTTAAGGTTTTTATAAAAATTAGACAAATTAAGACATACAAAATACTTATTTTGTCTGAAAACAATTATACAGTAAGCATCATATAATTGCTTGCTATGTTATTTGCTATGATTTCTGAGGTGTTCAAGAAGTATTTGGACCGTGTTTCAGGGCTATAGGAAAGATTCTTATGATGGAATTGAGGTAAAACTAAATGTCTTCCATGGTCCTGGATTAGTCAGGATAAGTTAAGTTATGCCACCATAACAAATAAGCCTTGAAAATCTCAGTGGTTTAATAGAAATAAGGTTTATTTCTTGCTTGTACCATGTCTAATACAAATCAGACAACTCTCTGCACACTTTTCCTCCATGGGAGCAATGACTTCAGCTGCTGCTAGCGTGAGGCTTAGCCATCTCAGAACATGGCTTCCATAGTCACCATGGTATAAAGAAAAAGCATCTGCCTAGAAGTGACACGTATCACCTTGCTTACAATCATTTGGCCAAAACTAGTCACATGGCTGCACTCAAATTTGGGGGTATAGTAAATTAAGGGATATTAATATAATATGGATAAGCAGATATCTTTCAACCTTTTAAAACTGAAACTAGACATAGAAACTAGACATATTACCACATGAACTGGCAGTTTGTGTGAAAAAAAAAAAAACCTGATGTAGAACCACTAGTTTCTTATGAAGCCATAAAAATGATCTTCTTGAACTTCATGCATTTCTTTATGGAAAACAATTATTTGGGATTTAAGCTAAAGTGTAACTAAATAAATTTAAGCAAAATGAATTTTCTTACTATGACCAGAATTATCCTTTGGTCTTTAGAGAAGAATAACTAGGAAAAAGTTATTCTGAAAATTAGCCAATATCTAAATAAGGATTACTAGTTTCTTAAACCCTTCAGTATATATGTTTTCTGAATTGGGTGATTTAAAGTACCCACCTCGACAATCATTCCCTTCCTTCCTTCCTCTGGATTGCTTTACCATTTCATCCCAGGGAGAACTCGTTCTTTGTATCTGATCACAGTTAAAGGTCTGCAGAAAAATTATATTAAAGCTATGATCATTTCTCCTTTGATAGGCATCTACCATCCATTTTTCTTTCAATAAGGTAGGAGATATTTCCCTTGGTTCCTTCTCTTAGCCTTACAATTAAGA